TTAGATATGGTTTGCAAGGGATATCGTTGCAAATGTTAGTCACTGTGGGACCTGAATTCAGTTAAAGGTGTACAGGGCTTCCCTGGTGGCCTAAGGGTTAAGTTTACTCAGTGCTATCACCGCTATGACCTGAGTTCAATCCCGGCCAGGAAGCTAGCCACATGGCACAGCAGACTTCTCCAGTTTTGCCCACTGCTCCCCTCAACAGTGTGTTTCAATAGATCTTCCTGCTCTGCTCCCCACTATCTCTGGTGAGTCCTCTCACCCCCCACATCTCTGGCCTATACCCCAGTTCTTCTATGCAAAATTAAAAAATAATGAAGCAGGCATCTGTGTTTCAGGAGGCAATGCTCAACAGTGAGCAGATTTCACCCAGAGAGCGCTGTGGCACTGCTGCTCCTCAGGGGACCCTGCTGAGGGACCCTGCCTAATGGTTCATTCCTAAGAACTTAATATCCCTTCTACACATATTTATGGAGCCAATAGCAGACATACAGTCCGATCTTAGTAGAAGTGACAGCACATGTTTTTATCCATAACCACGTGAGAAACTCAGTGACTTGTGGAGCAATCCTTTTCAGAAGCCTACAGACACCCAGTGAGGCACCTCTTGCTTTCTCTGTACCTGGTATTTTCAGTAATTGCTTGCCTTTGTTGAAGCTGGGGCACTGCAGAATCCTACTTAACCCTCCTGCCGACCACCACCTCCACACCCATCAACCTTGACAGGCCCAGGACACCAGTCTGGTTGCCACTTATCCCCCTGAGGGGTATATGGTGACCATGCAGGTACCAACTTGGGGCCACACCCCTACTGTAACCTCAGTCTGTTGTTCAAAACCAGGCAGCAAGCCCAAAATGGAGCCACGTAGACTAAGCTCGTCAAACTGGAATTCATTACAACTTTGGTTCTTCCAGAAATGGAATCTTAAGTCAATCAGGAACTGCCTGATCTGCAGTAACCTGCCTGACAGACCCCTTTCGTCCCTTCAAGGACAGTAACTGCAATAACCACCCACTCTCCTGCCTGCTGTGTCTTCCTTGTTCCTCGGCCTTCTGCCGAAGAAATGTTTATACAACTTCTTGGAGCTTCTTTTCATCTCTTAGAGTAAATGCTGTCTGATTCAAACAGAATTTTGATCAAATAAACTTCAAACTTTGAATTGCCTCAGTTTACCTTTCAAAAGTTCTAGTCTCATTTGAGGGATCCAGGAACCACCAGGAAGAGGTGTCAACCTGGAGTAGTTACCTGCTAAGCCCCTGAGCCTGCCACTTCTTGCTGCCACTGTAGGTTGTGAGTAAGTCCCTCTCAGATCCTAAGTCCACAGGTTTTGTGTCAACGAGCTTTCAGACTTTGAGTATTTCTTTTTTCTGGACTAGGTCCTGAGACCAGACTACTTACCACAAAGGATAGTAGGGAAGTTATTTTTTTCCTCTAGTTTCTGGCACCCAGGATGAGCTCTGCTGGGAAACCCCAGTCACTTCAGAGCCTGCAACAGGACACTGGGGGAGCTGGTGGGAATGGTAAGGGGTGAGAATTCTTAGCAACGTCAGCTCTCCCAGGTCTGTACCTGTGATGCCTGGTTGAGAGAGAAGTAAAATGTCACATTGCCCCTTTCTTTCTAAAGCCAGATTGGCAGGGGGAAAAAATTGTACAAATTAGTTGATTGACTTAAAACTTGTGAATTTGTGATCAAGGGCCCATTTGTTGTTGGCATTTTTTCCCTCAGTGACAATGTCCTGAAAACTTGCCTTGGCAACTGTCAGTTTAGGGTCCCCAAAGTTTAGCAGACAGAAACCTGTGCTGGCTCCATTTGTGACTAGGGGCCTACCAACTTGCCGCATCTCAAGGGAACTGTCCTTTTGACTCTTTAGAAGTGGCTCTGCATCTTGGGAGGGTAATGCTTTCTTGCACCCTCTTTGGGATCCCATCTCTTACCCAAGAGGCTGTTCAGTACTGCCAGGATTATTTCTCATTTGTCCTGAGAAGGTATTTGAAAGGATTTTTTTAAAGTACCTCGATGATCAGAAATTGGCCAAATCAGAAACTGGTAATCAGAGTCTGGTTGAACTCATTTTAGGCTTTCTCTCCTAAGCTAAATGAACTATTTGAAAGAAAGTCATCCTGAAGCTCTTGTGAATTTCTTAAGACATTCTAAAGACACACAGTTCTAAATCTAGAAGGTAGGAATCTTTAGACCTCCATCTTAGAGATTTTCTTCTGATACACTGGAAAAAACTGAAGATGATATAGTTGGATGACTGAGTGGGCTCCCCAATGTCGTCCAGGTTTCAACTCAATTTCTCGGAAATTGGAGTAACAGTTCTTGTCTTACAAACTGAATCTTGGGTCTCTCTAGTGGCATAGAGCTTAAGTCTCAGCACTATCATTCTATCACTGCTGGCCTGAGTTCGATCACTCCCGGCCGGGGAGCTGACCCACATGGCGTAGCAGACCTCTCCTGTCTAGCCCCCTGCTTCCCTCAGCAGTGTGTTTCAGTGGATCCACCTGTTCTGCTCCCCATTCTGTCTCTGGTGAATCCTCTTACCCCCTGCACCTCTGGCCTATACCCCAGTTCTTGTATGCATAAATAAATAAAAACATCTTTATATAAAAAAATAGCGCCTTCACAAAACAGAAATGCAGCTCTGGAAACAACTCATAGTTCACCTGTCCTTTTTACCAATTGCAAAACCTCCCGATTCATCGCAAAAGACTTGTAGATACTGTAAAAGTAAAGTTTCAGAATCTTCCAAATCTCCAGGAAGGCTATAGATAAAGGTTCACCTACAAATAGCGCAAGCAAGAGGATAAGCTTCCAACAGTAGATGGTGCCTGGTGATTCACTTGGCATCAGCTACCTTGATGCTGCTTTAACCACTCTTGAGTTCTTCAGCTCCAGTAGTCATTTCTTTAGTTTCAATATCTTTGGTAAAATAATATTTCTGTTCATTGATTTTATTCCTAATCCACTGAACTACATTTCTAAATTTTCTTTTTTTTTTTTCCTAAAGATATATTTATTTATTTATACAAGCACTGGGTACAGTCAGAAGTGCAGGAGGGTGAGAGAATTCACCAGAGCCAGAGCAGGGAACAGAGCAGGCAGACTAACAAAATACACTGCTGAGGGGAGCAGCGGGCACTGCAGGAGAGGTCTGTTGCGCCATGTGGGACCCTTGCTGGTGGCCCAGGATCCAATCAGTGCTGCAGAGTCTGCGGGCAGCTTTGCAGCCCAGCGCTGCAAACCAATGCGCCACCGGGGAGGCCCTACATTTCTAAATTTTCTTACAGCTTGTTGGGTTTCTTCTTCATCTGATGACTGATTTGAATTCTCTATCAGGTCAGACTTCCATGACTTTCAGGTTGGTTTCAGGAGAATTAGTGTTTTCTTTTTGTGATACTATATTACTGTGATTTTTATTATTTTTTAAAGATTTATTGATCTGGGGTGTAGGCCAGAGATGATGGGGGTGATTTACCAGAGACAGAGTGGGGAACAGAACAGGCGGATCTACGGAAGCACACTGCTGAGGGGAGCAGCGGGCGAGACCAGAGTGGTCTGCTGCGCCATGTGGGTAGCTCCCTGGCCGGGGATCCAACTCAGGTCACAGCTGTGATAGTGCCGAGACTTAATCCCTCCATCACCAGGGAAGCCCATTACTGTGATTTTTAATGCGTTTGATGAAATGCTCCTCTGCTGGTATATTTGAAGTAGCTCACACCTTATGTTTAGGTAAAGTTTTGTTCACTTAGATTCGAATCCAACAGTTTAGTACAGAAACCTTTATTTTGCTCTCCAGTAGGTGGTGCTATGGTATACACTTTTGGTTTCTCTTAGCTGGCCCAGTTTCCATCCAGCACTGCCTCTTCCAGGAGTCATTGGTGTCCTTTTGTTGCTGGTTGTACCTTTGGGGTGGCTTGTGTCACTGATTTTTGGGATCACTGCCTGGTTCCTGGAATGATGGGTGTTTTGAGGGTCACCCAGGTTGTAGATTGTGAGCTGTGCGGGGAGAAGATGGAAAGGGGACCAGTATCCTGGGAGCTGCCATTGATTCATACTCTGCTATTGCTTTTTCCTCTGGGGCCATAGACCCACTGTGCTTGCGAGTTTCACTTGGCACGTAGGCATTGCAGAGGGAAAACAAAGGGGTGCTTCTGCTGCCATCTTCTCTCCAGGGACCTGGGTCAGTGTTGTGAGCTCTGCCAGTGCTGCCGTTGGATTCAGCACACTGGGCCAAGGCTATAGCTACCTATGCTCTGTCACCTTCCTTTTGCTCAGGTTCACAGTTTCCATTTTAACTCTTGCCCCGTTCCGACCCCTCTACGGGCCTCAGTCTACCTTCAGGTTTCAGTTACACAGATGTGTGAATGTCTCTGGCTCCCTGGTGTAATGAGCAGAGGGATCTTTGTTGCGTTATAGATGTCTTGCTAGTTGTAAATTGAAGAGGAGACAAAGGTAGAAATTTATGCAGCCATGGTGCTGATGCTTTTGTCACAACTCAGGCTTGAGAGACTGATGAAAAGGAGGGAATTGCCAACAGATCCAAACAGAGTTGCTGTTTGGTGATGCTAAGTTCATCACCAAACAAGAACTACGGCTTCAGCTCTTCCAGAAATGCTATTTTAATTCCCATAGGAAGCAAACATTGCAATGACCCAATTTCTTTGCCAACTTGGGCCAGATGACCTGTGTATCCAGCTAGAAGGGCAAAGTTCACTCGCCATGGGATTCAGGATGTGGCTCACAGAGGAGCTGCACACCCCTCCTGGCCAGCCGGGCTGTGCACATATCTACACCTCACTCAGTGTGAGAACCAGCCTGGGGATGGAGGAGGACAGCTGCTGACCACTGCAGAGACAAATGGATGGTCATCAACTGTTCAGGTGGGCGTACAGAATAAGTTAAACATTTTGTTTACTCTGGGACCTTGAAGTATCAAACCAATTCCTGGAGCCAGGGGCGCTCCATTATTTGAATGTGTACAAAAGACAAGAAGTTGTTTTTTTTTTTCCTCAAATGGCTGTTGAATTTATTTGCTTGATCAATAATAATCCTGGCAAAAATTAGGTAACCAACGCCGAGACAATTGTAATGAAATACTAATTTTAAAAATCCATGACACCTTGATAGAAATTAGAGTTTACACAAACAAAAAGAAACTTCAACATTGCCAGCAAATATAAAATGAATCTAATATGACCGACAGGACAGCAAAAAGATTTTTATACATTTATATTTGACACCTGACCATATTTTCAGTCACCATAATATCTTCTCTCCAGATTTAAAAAAATAGTATGCTGATTTCTATAACAAAGCTTTTTTTCGTACAAAAATCAAATAATGGCCAACAAGTCACAACAGTGCAATAGGTAGAGGATAAAAAACCGCATCAAACAGGTGCTGAAAATAAATACTAACTAGGAGGAGGAGAGGACAGAGTCCCCATGGGGAGGGGGGGTGTTTCCATCACCTTGAGTGTGTGGGGTTTGTCTTCACAGCCATGAGAGCTGACCTACCTCGTGGGTACCACTGACTGGACAGAGCATGACTGAACAAAGGTGCCTGAGGTCACCACAGACGTAGCAGAAGCAAGAAAACAGGGCTGGGGATCACAGCTATCATGAGAGTTCTGTCTATTGCTCAATCACATCCATTGGGACTCCATCAGCAGGTTCACTGAGACAATATGGATAATTTAAAACTGTTGTGTAAGAGCATATATATGGCTTATTCAGGCAAAGAGAAGTTCACATTCTAGCCCAAGCAAGCAATCTAAGTCATTCTGTTTTTAATGGAAGGTCAGTGTCATAGATTTCTGGTTCAAGACACATCCTTGTGGATACACTGGGCCCATGTGGCCACTTACGACCAACCCAGTGAAAACCATTTGCTGATCACGAGCAGTGAGGAGCTGGAGGAGAGAGGTGGTACTGCCCCAGGGCTGGTGGGCGGGCTCTACAGGCAGCTCTGTGACCAACTAGGCCATCCTGGTGACTCAGGCTCATGGACTGTGGTTTCGGACTATTAAAGGAGAGTGACAGGGCAGGTAAAGGTAACCCCAATAAGAGCCATTCTGACCAGTCAGGAAATATGAGGCAGCTCCCCATTATATAATCTGCACCGAAAAGGTGTAAAAGGCACAAGCAAGAGTGACTAGGTAAGCAGAGATCCCGGAGGGTGAGACTACGGGGTAATCCACAAGGCAAGAACAGTATTTACCTTGTCTGGCTCCCCCCGCCCCCCCTCCTGAACAAGAGAAAGAGATCCTGATTCTGCCATAATAAAAAAAGCAAAGAAAGACAATTTTTGGTTTAAAAAGAAGCCACTCAAGGGTTAAAATAGTTATTTTAAGTTAACAAAGAAAATTAATCTTCAAATAAGCTGATCCTATCTGGAAAATTCATCTGTCCCCTATAAGCCTACAATGTGTCCATTGCTTTCTCCTCCTGTGTAACCTGAGCCTGACGCGGAGAAGTCATACGTGTGAAAGAAGGAAGGGTCTCTGAGAAGAAAAGACATCTTTACAGAATGTACAGCAGAGAGTTGTGCACTCTGACTCTCGGTATTACAGTAAGATGCACAGGTCTTGTTGGGTCTGGAGGATTCCATGACCCAGCTGCTCAGATGGGCGTCTCCTTCCTGTCTCTGCTTGGGGAGGGCTTGGCCTGCTCCTTGCCTGCCTTTGGCTGCTCTTTAGCTGCTTTTGTCTCTGGGGTGGTGTCTCTGGGCACCTGGGAAGTGCCCCCACGCCTCTCGGGCTCTTCGTCATCCTGGGTCTGCGACTCGGGCTTGGCTCGCTGCAGCTGGAGCAGGCGGAGTTGCACACGCAGTTCAATGATGGCCTCTCGCTCTTCATGAATCGCTTGGTTCAAATGATTGTTCTTTATCTTGAGAATGAAAGAACAGTTGTGACTTAAGAAGGTCAAGAGAAAAATGATTCAGGAGGAGAGGACATTTAACAAAGGTATCCTACCTAAGAGTCTATTTTTGTTTCAATCAATTTATTAACAGAAGACGCGCCATGAACATGAATGTGCAAATGAAGTACACAAACACCTTAACCCAGAGGGAGAAAATTCAGGAATATAAACTCTGTTCCTAACTACAGAAGAGTGACTAAATCTAGGGGGAAAAATGTACAAATAGATAACAATTATTTTAAGAATCGTAAGAGGTCTAGTGTCTCAAACTTATGTTTTTGAACTGGCTCCTGACCAGCCTTAGCGGAAGATGCAAGTGTTTTTAGTACAACTGGGAAGGGGCAGGGGGACACATTAGAAACAGGATAAAATCCTAGAATTATCTCAAAAGTGAATGCTCTTTGTCTTTCGTGAATGGCATACTTTATATCTGAACTGTGCTACGAAGTCAAACCACAGAAAACTACTATCACATCTAAGTTCCCTGCACTCACTCTGGGATGTTAATATAAAACAGCAACTAATGCCCAACGCTGCTACCCACACCCCTCGCAGAGGCAGGAACTGCACGGTGTGCCTCCCCTCCTCTTGCCATGGCGTTTCCCGTTTGTATTTCCCGGTCTCCCTGGCACCCAGCTCCAGCCACAAAACAGCCTTTGCTACGAGGGCAGAGCACCAGGGCTGGGTTCCCATCTTGCATTCCGCCCTTGACACCGGAGCACTCCTTGTTTCCTTTTCTCTTCCTGATGAAAAGATGGGCCGGACTTTGGACCCAAAGTGGAAAAAACCCTATGTAGAGGATAGCAGACCTGGACGTCTGCCAGATGAGACTAGTTCAAATCATGAAAGTATTCTCTGTCATAGCAGCTTAACTTAATCCCAAGCATTCGAAGTCCAGAATATGTTTTCCTACTTAGGATTTTTATGTGATCTGAAAATGTTAAGAAAACAAAGTAAGGCGCTAACGTGAGATGTAGTGACCCAGGTCTCGTTGACTACTCCACTTCCACCTCACACCTCTGGCTCTGACAAGTGTCTTGTCCTTGAGCCTCAGTGGGCAGCCTCTCTGAACTATCCCCAGGTTCAATGACGAAGACTTTCGTGGGTGGTGTTTTTGAGTGGAATTCTTTAGTTTTCTATGTGCTATGTATCCATGGTTTTCTCCAACAGCTGAATGCACCTGAACGAAGGAAACAAAGCTGTCTGTTGTTCTTAGAGGCCTTTCTGAGAAAAGAATGGTTGCTCTCCCAACCTAGAGCAAAACATCTGAAGACAATGTTTTATTTGGAGTAAAAAGGGAAATTCTAATCAAAAGTATTTAAGTCTGCTGCTGTCTTTTCACTGTGCAGTTGCTTCCCAGTTCCCACTGCTGAATTTACTCTCCCTTGCTGCTTTATGGGTTAAGGGTCAACTCTGTTCCTTATTGTACCCAAAGGACAATTTAGAAAACTTTTCCTTTGTCCTCTACTACTCCTTTCTTGGTCCCTCTTCTCTGGGAACATATCAAATCATTCAAAGTTGCTCAAACTGACATAGTCAGGTGTAGCTCACCTTGGTGACACTAAACTCACAAAGTCATACTTCAGGGACAGCCCATGGAGGACATATCTACGTCATCTGCTGGACTGCACTCAGTTTGCACCTTACAAACTCTGGTGAGTTTGCTCTAAATTCCACTCTACTTAGCATTTCCAGTTGGTTACCAAAGGAAAAGGGAAATCTAAGGGGGAATGTATAAACGCCACAATTTTCTAGAAAACAGTGTGATTTCTGTTACTTCCCCTCCCCAACTCACTTCCAGCTCTTCATTCTGCCTCTGTAAATCTTCCAGGATGATCTGAAGCTCCTCTTCATCTTCACTCTCACTCTCACTCTCAGAGGAGTATTCCTCAGTCTCACTGCGGCCGTGCTGCTGACGACTGCAGGGCGAGATAACAAATACTTTCTAAGCAAGGAGGGTATGCTTATCTGTTCTGACCTCCCTTTTTACTTTATATAATTTTCATGAGTCTACTTCCTCTAACACCATTCTTTTTTTTTTTTTTTTTTTTGTGGGACCCTCGCCGGCGGCCGGGAAATGAACCAGCGCGGCAGAGGCTGGGGGCAGCCTCGCAGCCCAGCGCTCAACTGCTGCGCCACCAGGGGAGGCCCCTATAACACCATTCTTAAGAACTGATGAATAAAAAACTTAAAGATAATTCATTTTAGATGCCTATTTTCTTTAATTTAAAAGTGAGAACTGAAACACATTTATACTAAAGTAAGTATTCTTGGAAACTTCAAAATCCTCTGCTTTCTTTTACCTCTGGATTTCAGCAATCTCAGCTCTAAGACGTTCAATCTCTTCTTTTTCTGAAGCAATCTGTCGGCGCAGAAACTGCTCCATGGCTAAAAGCTCCTCTTGTTCAGTCAGGATCTCATTCTCCTAAAATAATGATCACTGGTGAACACCTTTTTGAGTTTAAATCTAGGAAATGTCACTTTTTTGAGATCTATGCTCCTCTGAATTCTTTAGCCCTGTACACAAATCATGTGAAAGCTTGTATACATGTCCAAAAATATCTTGTTTCCTCAATGTTAAGAGACAGCTTCAATGTTAAAGGTAAACTAAGTTAGGAAGAATGACTAGATTTTTCTCAGGACATAAAATCCCACATAGGGGGGAATTCCATGACCTTATTTTGCAAAAGCTCCCTTGGATGATAGCACAATGGGCACAAAGCCAAAGTTCAAGTGATTAAATCTGCTTCTACTTTCCAGCCCTTCCTGAAAGTTTTCCCTTTTTTTAGGGCCAAAGGTGACCTCTGACAGCGTCACCAGGAAAAAGAAGGATCCAGGAGATCTGAGGTTGGTATGTCAGCATCACCTTGAGGCAGACTTGAGTGAAGAAAAGATGTTCACAAAGAAATCGTTTTTCCACACTGTAAGCCACCATCTTTCTCAATCCATATCCCCAGAGAAAATATTAATAAATATTCTGTTTCACAGAATATTTCTAAAACTGACTGGATCACCAATTGGGAAAATCTGCCATTATCTAGAGAAAAAGCCCTAAAGCAGACAAAACTTAGGTGGTAACAGAGGTGTAGGGCTATGGAAATAAGAAGGCGGAGAAAGACAAAGGTCTATAGCATTTCTTTCCAAAGGATGGAGAGGTTTTTGTGGTCAAACAACAACACTATGATCAAGTTCTAAAGTGAACTACCCAAAGCCTCCAAAAAGCATAAAGAATCTTTCTCTGAGATGTAATATGCAGTATTTCTCAGGTGTTTCTAAACAGAAATGTTTTTCCCCTACCTCAAAGTACAAGGCTAACATTCCAAGAAGTAACAGATCAAAAACTGCAAGTCGTAATTTGAGACTTCATTCTCTCTTCATAAGAATTACGTCTTTGCTAGCAAAATAATGTGACAGAAGTGAACAAAATAACTTTAATTTACAGGACTTTGAATATCCCATATACATAAGCTTCTAAAAGCTAGGCATACTCTGCTGTTCTTTCTGGTTAAAATGGGAATTTCCAGGACACAGTAAGGTTGACTTCAGAAATTCAGAAAGAGCGAAATGAATTCATCTTCAACTCTATGCCTGGAATATAGTAAGTACTTAGGAGCTATTTGTTGAATCAACAAATGAATAACAATTCATCTCCAGAAATTGATTTTTACCTGCAAAGAATAAAATAAAAACATCTAAAAGGTGTTATTAGCAACAACTACCAGCGGAAATCTGTATCATTGCATTTTTAAGAATGCCAACTTTGTGATGTCAGAAATAATATATTTATTAAAGTCTAGTATCACTAATATGGAATGAGAAGCACTAATCTATAAATTAGGGAAAATATATACAACTCAAAACTATGTACAGACAAAGTGAGATTAAGTAAAACATATAGAACAGTGAGCTTAAGTAAAACACCTAGGACTGAGTAAAAGGTACTCAATTAGAAGGAAATTTCTTTTTCCCTACCTTTTTTTTGCTTTTCTATTTTTTTATTTTTTTTTCCCTATGGAAACAACCCAAATGCCCAAAAATAGATGACTGGATCAAGAAGATGTGATACATATACACAATGGAATATTACTCAGCAATCAAAAAAGATAAACACATGCAGTTTGCAGCAAACATGTATGGAACCAGAAGGGATCATGCTCAGTGAAATAAGTCAGAAAGAAAAAGAAAAATACCGGATGGTCTCACTCATAGCAGGAATTTAGAAAACCTAAATAAGGGACCAGGGAAAAAACTAATACAAAGTAAAAATCAAAATCAACAAGCAAGTATAAACCAGAGACATACTACGGGGGGTGGGGAGTAAGAAGGATTAAAGTCAAAATAAGGGGGGGAGGTGCAATTATATGGGGAATAGAACCAAAATGAAAATGTATACATCGTGCAAAAATGAAAAATGATGTAAGAATTATATAAAATATTAATTTGAAAAACTAACTAACTAACTAACTAAATTCTCTACCTTTTTAAAAAATGATTTATTTATTTAGCATACAAGACTGGGGGTACAGGCCAGAGGTGCAGAGGGTGAGAGGATTCACTAGAGAGAGAGAGTAGAGAGTGGGGAACAGAACAGGCAGACTGACTGAAATACACTGCTGAGGTTTTCCCTAACTTTTTGACCCTGCCTTTATGCAAACACCACATAAAAGTAGGGTTAAATATACCTAGTACAGTCCCTCCTTCTAAAATCTCTAAATCATCTTATAAATTTGGTTGAAAGAAAATACCTCTGAAGCTAAGCTTCTCTAAGTACAAATTTAAAAATGACAAATAAGAGTCTTACAACACTTCTGAACAACCAATGGAACAAAGAAGAAATTGAGTATCTTGAGATAAATGAAAATAAAAACAAAATATACCAAAACTTATGGGACTTTGAAGAGGGAAATGTAGTGATAAATGAGCACATTAAGAAAAAAGACGCGCTCATAGAAACAACTTAGCTTTCTATCTCAAGGAATTAGAAAAAGACTGAATCTGAAGTTAGCAGGAAGGAAATACATACCAGGGAATTAATAAAAATGATCTTGAAAAAAAAAAGCCCTAAAGATTCCAATAAATAATAATTAGAACTAATAGTAAAGCTGCAGATAATAAATCAACATCCAAAAAAATCAGTTGCATTTCTACATAACAATGAACTATGTGAAAAAGAAATTAAAAAAAAAAAAAAACAATTTCATTTATAATAGCATAAAAAAGTAATAAATTTAGCCAAAGAGGTGAAAGATCTATACAACAAAAACTATAAACCACTGATGAAAGTGAAGACAGAAATCAATGTGAAGATATTCCATGTTTGTAAACTGATAGAAATAATATTATTATAATGCCTACCCTATCGCTTCTCAGCCTTTTGGCTAAGATCAAGTGTATAAAGCCTACCCTATCCAGTGTGATCTCCAGAGTCAATGAAAGCGGTATCACAATTTCTAAGTTTTCTTCACAGTAAGAGAAGAAACAACCCTAAAATTCCAACAGAATCTCAAAAGACTGCTAACAGCCAAAGCAATCTTGAACAAAATAAAGAAAGATGGGAGGCATTAGACTACCTGAGCTGTAAATATACTACAAAGTCATTATAATCAAAACAATATGGCACTGGCATAAAAACAGATATATTCCAATGAAATAAATCCATGCACTGGCATAAAAACAGATATAGTCCAATGAAACAAAACAGAACCCAGAAACAAACCCATGCATTTATGGTCAATTCATCTTTGACAAAGTTATTCAGAACACAATGAGGAAAGGACAGGTCCTTCAATAAATGATGTTGGGTAAATTGGTTTTCCACATGCAAAGTAATCAAACTAGACCCTTATCTCACTCAATATACAAAAATCAACTCAAACTGAATTGAAGACTTCAACATAAGACCTAAAATGAAACTATTAGAAGGAAACTTAGGGAAAGGTTTTGTCTGGGTAGTCATATTTTGGATATGACCCCAAAGGTACAGACAACAGAGTGAAAAGACAACCTTTGGAATGAGAAAATATTTGAAAACCATACATTTGATAAGGGGTTAATATTTAAAATATAAAGATCTCAAATCAATAGCAAAAACTACCCAATTAGAAAAATAATCTGAACATAGAGTTTTCAAAAGAAGACAAATGGCAAACTGATAAATGAAGACGTTTAATATCAATAATAACTAGGAAAATGCAAATGGAAAACATAGTAATATATCTTTGTACATGCCTCAGAATGGTTATTATCAAAAAAAGGCAACACTTTTATGCCTTTAGTGGGGTATAAATTGGTAAACTATTATGGAAAACAGTATGGAGGTTCCTAAAAAGATATGACCCAACAATCGCACTTGTGGTATATATCCAAAGGAAATGAAAACAGGATATGAAGAGATATATCTGTACTCACAAGTTCACCACAACATTATTCACAATAGCCAAAATATGGAAACAACCCAAATGCCAGATGAATAAAGGATGTAGTGTATGTGCACAGACACAGACATACCAGGAATATCATTCAGCCATGAAAAAGAAGGAAATGCCACCATTATGACCACATGGATAAACATGGAGGACATTACGTTAAGTGTAATAGGCCAGGTAGAGAGAGACATACCATATGACATAACTTACATGCAGAATATTAAAAAAAAAAAAAAAAGGTCAAGCTCATAAGAGTAAATGTTGGTTACCAGGATCGGTGGGTGGGGAAAATGGGGAGATGGTGGTCAAGGGCAAAAGGTGCAATTATGTAGAATGATTAAGTCTAGAAATCTAATGTAAGGCATGATGACTACAGTAAATAATACTGTACTGACCACTGCAGTAAATTTCAGGTGCTCATCACACACAATTAGTTGTAGTAATAATTTCACTACATATGTGATCAAATCATTATAATGTATACCTTAAATTTATACAATTTTTATTTAAGAAAATCTTTCAAAAAAGAGAAAAAAGGTTAACTTACTTGGGCAAGGAGAATATTGATAACTTCTTCATTTTCATTCATTTCTTCTTTGGAAACATCCTCTTTTGAAAGACTGGCTATCTCTTGTGCAATCTTGGTTTCACACTCCTGTCAAATAAGACAAATGAAAAAGAACTAGTCAGTCTAAATATGATACATATTCAACATCATTACGATTATAAATTAAAAAGTAACAGAAAGTCAGATGAATCATCTGGATAAATGGGTCTTTGTTAACTGGGCTTGGAAAATAACATGTGGATTTTAGTTTGTGGCTATACTATGAAAAATGCTCAATTCTGGCTAATGTGCTCACCATTACACATAAATTACCTTCTGTGGTATTTTTTTGTAGGGAGTCAATTTTAAGCATATATTTCAGAGTTCTGACAAATGTATACATTCAAGTAACTACCCCGGCAGTCATATAAAACATTCCCATCATCACACAAAATGACTGCAGAGAGGGGCTCTGCCAACATCTTCAGACCCCTGAAACCACTGACCCACTTTCCATTGCTCGAGCTTTTCCTTTCCTTGAGTTTCACGTAAACTGAATCAATCATGCAAAAGAATGAAACTGGACTAGTGTCTCACACCATATACAAAAACCAACTCAAAATGGAGAAAAGACCTGAATGTAAAACCTGAACCATACAATATGTACAAGAAAACACAGGCAAAACACTCCATGACATACATCTCAGAAATACTTTTAAAAACACATGCCCCAAAGCAAAGAAAATGAAAGAAAAGACAAACAGCTAGGACTACATCAAACTAAAAAGCTTCTGTACAGCAAAAGAGACAATAACCAAGATGAACAGACGCCCTACAGATTGATATAAAATATGTACACTCCACACAATAAGGGACTGATCATAAAGATCTATAAGGAGCCTACACAATTCAACAAAAACAAAATAAAGAATCCAGTCAAAAAATGGGCAGAACTAAAAAGACACTTCTCCAAAAAGGAAATGCAGATAGCCAACAGATACATGAAAAAATGGTCAACATCACTAGTAATCAAGGAAAGGCAAAGCAAAACCACAATGCGGTATCACCTCACACCAGGAAGAATCAAAAAAGATAAACTCATGTCATTCACAGCAACATGGATGGAACTGGAAGGGATTATGCTCAGTGAAATAGTGAGAAGGAAAAAGAAAAATATTGGATGGTTTTGCTTATAGAAGGTATTATAGAGAAACCAAAGACAGGGTAGAGAAAGAAAAAAAAGACAAAACTAGAAAGCAAACTACAAATCGGAGACACACAGCAAGGAAGGAGGAGGGAGCAGGATCAAATCAGGGGAGAGAAAAGCACAGATTATGGTGACTGACTTGAGAGGAAAAATCAGACATTATACAAAAATAAACAACAATATTAAATATATATATTTAAATAAATATATCTAATAAAAAATTGAATTAATCACTAAGTAGTCTTTTTATCTGGCTTCATCTAACATAATGCTTTACAACTCATCCATTTTTTTTGTTTGTATCAGTAATTTGCTGAATAATATGCCATGATATAAACATATCCCAATTTATCCATTCAACAGCTTATACACACTGGCTCCTTTCTAGTTTTTATTTATTATTCTTAGAGCTGTTATGAACATTTGTATATGCATTTTGTGAGTATATGCTTTGTTCTCTTAAATACCATGAAGGGGAATTGCTGGGTCATATGGTAACCATATATAAACTGGCAAAGTATTTTCCAAAATGACTGCAACAATGACCACTGTTGTAGACTGACACATCATGATGCAATGTATTAATGTACACCAGATCTTAAGGGAAAGCAGTCAAACTTTCACCATTAAGTAGAACTTTTTTCACAGATGCTTTTTGTCAGGCTAAGAAAGTTGTTTATAGCAGTTTGTATCGTAAGTGTTGAATTCTAACTACAGCACTACTTACAATAGCTAAGATATGGAAACAACCTAAAAGTCCAAAAACAGATGACTGGATCAAGACGATGTGGTATATATACACAATCAAAAAGGACAAACGCATGCCATCCGCAGCAACATGGATGGAGCTGGGATTATGCTCAGTGAATCTACTGATGTGATCTTGTGGTGGTGTTTTGTTTTTTTTTTTTTTTTCATTTTTAATCTGTTATATAGTGAACCATAGTCTGTCAAAAAAAGTCACTTAATCCTCAATGCTGAAATCATCTTGACAAAAACTCCTGAGCATTCTGTGAATTATTGAGCTGGCATGAAAACAGACTATCAAGAAAATTGATAAAGTCAAAATAATCATCCCTGTCTATATTGGCTCTGACTTGCTGTATCATGATTCCTTTATCCAAGAGACATGCAGAAGTAAGAGAAATGAAAGCCAAGTCTACATTAATACTGTCCTAGGTCAGACATGCTTACTTAAATGCTGATGGGCAATGCCACATGGTGAACAATTACAACCATGAGGTGGGTCAGTAACTAACACCCAGTATCAGGCTGAACTATTTAAGGGAATAAGAACAACAATAATAAGGTAATCTAGTTAATCTTAGAAGCAGGAGAAAATAAGAAAGAAAAATTCAGACAGAACTAACGCTAGTCTTTTAGTCCTAGATTGCATGTGTAAAAAGCACATGAATGTTTTCCTTCTGACAAAGATATTCTCCATATAAATGCAAATCTCTAAACTCAGGGCAACAAAAATACTTGGTTTGTCTTTCTCTTGTGAGCACAGCCACAATGGTAACCCACCATCAATCAGGCTCTCCCAGTCTGAAAAATGCTAACTACAGCCATGTGTCCTGTGTGGAATGATGAGGATACATTCTGAGAAATGTGCTGTTAGGTGATTTCATTGTTGTGCAAATGTCAGAGTGTACAGACAGAAACCTAGAGGGTGGGGACTACTACACATGTGCTATATGGTACAACCTGCTGTGCTAGGCTACAAATCTGTAGAGCATGTTACTGCATTAAATACAGCAGTCAACTGTACACAATGGTATTTATGTACCTAAATATATCTAGACATAGAAAATGCATAGTAAAGATACGGTATAAAAGAAAAAAAGGTACACCTGTATTGGGCACTTACCATCAATGGAGCCCGCAGGACTGGAAGTTGCTCTGGGTGAGTCACTGAGTGAGTGGTGAGTGAATGTGAAGGCCTAGGACATGACTGTACATGAATGTAGACTTTATAAACACTCTACACTTAGGCTATACTAAATTTATATAAAAAATTTTCTTCAATAATGCATTTATCTTACTGTAACTTTATAACTTTAAAATATTTTTCAACTTTTGACCCTTTTGTAATAACATCAAGTCTAAAACAAACTCATTGTACAGGTATACAGAAATATTTTCTTTATATCCTTTTTTATAAACCTTTTTCTATATTAAATTAAACTTTTTTTTTTAATGCTTTAAGTAACACACACAGACATACACACTAGCTTAGGCCTACAAGGAGTTGGGACCATTATCACTGTCTTCTGCCTCCACATCTCATCCCACTGGAGGGACTTCAGGGGCAATAACTTGCATGGAGCTGTAATCTCCTGAAACATGTCAGAAGCTCTTCAGGAGGCAGTGTCACTCTTTTCAGAAATAAGCCCATGATGGTTTGTTTCTTTATCACAGATTTTCATGTATGTAGAAAATGCAACATGAGCATTCTTCTCTATTAATAAAAAGCTGTCAGTGTTGGGTTTTCAAACTATTTAAGAAGCTTCCTGAGGTCTGAGAAAGCTTCTAAATCCTTCACTATGAATTTTCTTTGGGGTTCTTTTTCTTCTGCAGTTTCCTTTTCTCTTGTCTCTCCTTCAGTTACACATTCCTGTGTCAGTTCCAACAACTCCTTGTTAGTTAGTTCCTCAGAACTGCCTCAAAGAGGTCCTTAATGTCCTTATCCATACCCAGTTCAAACTGCTTTCCATCTCAACCAGAGTCTTGTTGATTGTCACAACCTCCTCATCCCTGGGAAATGATCTGAAGTCATGGGTACACCTATTGAGTGTCTTCTTTCAGATCCCTTTTATATACACCAAGGTGCTATCACCCCAAGCCCAAAAGGGTTATTGATGCAATCATGGACATTGTAATCCTTCCAGAGCTGCACCAATGTCTTCCTCAGTTACATCAATAGCCTGGGAAAAAGCCCTCTTCAGATGCAGGCCTTAAAAGCTGTTTTAACACCTTGGATCAAAGAGGTGGCATTTAGAGAAAGCAACACTACTTTGATATTGGGAAGAAGATCACCAATAAAAGAATGTCCAGAAACATTATCAACAATAAGCAAAAGCTTTAAAAGCATGTTATATTCCAAACAGTTCTTTATTTCACTGGCACAGCAATTCTGGAGGGCATCTTAGAAGAGCTGGGTCATCCATGCCCTCTTATTGCTCCTGCAGTACACTGCCAGTCTGCGCTTACTCCTATGTTTGAGGTCTTGGGGTTCTGTTTCAGATCACAGAAGTTTTTAATTTGTACTCTGCAACACTGTCCGCAAGCAAGACTGTTCCATTGTTCTTAAAAGCCTTGAAACCTGGCATTGACATGCCTCCTTATGTATGAAAGCCCTTTCAGACATCTGTATCCAGAATAGGAAGGTCTTATCCATTCTGGCAAATTACGTTTCCTCCACTTATCAATTTATCTAGACTTTCCAAAAATGTTTTAAATGCCTTTGTATCAGCATTTAAAGATTCACTACTCACTTGGGTATTATGTAATGAATAATGATTCTTGAACTGTTTAAACTACCCAGAGCTAGCAGTAAATTCAACAATGAAATAAGAAGTAGCCTTCTCTTTCAACACCAAAAACATATTTTCTGCTTTGGTTATGATCATTATATTGCTGACAGGGATATACTGTGACTAGTCTTTAATCCAGGTCATAAAACATTTCTTTATATCTGATATAGGTGTTTCTCAATTTTTTGTTAATCTCATTGTTTTCAATGAAGCATATCCTTTAAAAGTTTCTGCCACTTTGTTCCTGTTCTTCAAGATCATAGCTATGATCAAATGGGATGTGCCTAACTGATAAGCAATAACCATTGTATTTTCCATTTTCTTAGTCCTTAATCACTTTTCATTTCCAGATCAATCACTTGATGTGGCAACATCAGTGCCTCTTACTGGCAGTATTAGTGGATTTTGTGCACTTAGGGGCCATGGTGAGGAAAAACAACAAGGGATAATCAAGTACAAGGGGAAAATATGCCATCAAGACAGGAGGTAAACAATAGCTATAGAGGCTGTTGCCAACATAAAAAACACTACAACATTTTGACATCACTAGGTGATAGGAATTTTGGAAACACTGTAGTACATGTGTTCCCTCACTGACTGAAAGGTCACTGATGCAGTGCATGACTGTGATGTTCCTTTAAAGTGCTGCCTGGAGCCTGCTGTTGAATCTGCATGTGAGTTGTATGGGGATCCAAAGGTTTGGTATCTTACTTAGTCCTGGTGTGACTGGGAAACTCACAGTTCTACAGCCAACAATATACAGTAGAAGGGAAATGAAAAGTTTGGTGGCTCACATACCCCAAACTTATCAGGAGTCATATGACATGCTTCCTACAATTAGGTAAAGAAAATTCCTCTTGATCATCATAACCTTCCATGCATTTCCATAGGGGTGACTCATTCTAAAGGTCTCAAATTCCCCAGCAGTTTCTGAAATGTAACACCATTTAGCTGCTTCTCATAATTAGAAATCTGTGTGTACAGGTATAACCAAGCAGGAAATGACAATACATCTTTCAGTAAAATCAAGTTTGATTAAAAAAACAACTTTCTTAATTAAAGAAAACATTTGTCTGGAACTAAGCTGGAGGATCAATAAGCCAGAACTGGGTACACATGAACAAATAAATTTCCCATGAGAGAACTCCATTTTAAGACATATATATATATGCGTGTGTGTGTGTATGCACACACACACACACATATATCTCTCTTAGTGTGTGTGTATATATATATTTTATACATAATATTTTTAAAAGAAATAACTTAAGATAGTATATAAAATATTCCAATGCATTCTTTTTATTTTATTATAAACATGATGTACCAAAGAAATAAATTTACTCACTTGTCTTTTAGCTTCTCTCAATTTTCTTTTGAGGGCTGTCAAAATCCTTTGTACTTCCCATAATCTTTCTTCTTTAGATAAATCCTTTATCCCACCCTGTAGATCTCGATGTAAACAATTCAAAAGAAACTCCTAGAAAACAATATACACACATTGAGTGGTAGTCCAGGTCTTATTTTAAAATAACACTACATATAATTTCTAAAGATGCAGAAGTAGCTGATTTTCACTTAATATTAAAGGAACAGAATAATGGCATAAATTATTTTTTCAAAGATAGATTAGAAAATCCTTTTTATTTGTTTTGCCTGGGCAAAAGTTCTCATTCATGAATTCACATTGGTTCAGTACTAGCTAATTCACATTCCTTCCCCAACATATTATAGCAGCTCAGAACATATGAAGAAAAGTAAGCAGGGATTTGATAATGTACATGCAAGTAAAAGACATAGTAATTGAATGTAAGTAAATTTCTTATATAATCATATATTTCTTATTCAGCTTGCAAACATATCACACGTGTCAAAATAGCATAGCATAAAAGTACAGGATCTGGGTTCAATTTTTGTTCAGTAGTTTAGTAACTATATGACATAGTAAGTTACTAAGCATCCCCAAATTTCAGCATTCTTTTTTTTTTTTTTTAAAGATTTATTCACCTGCCAAATGAGCTGGAGGGTGAGAAGACCCATCAGAGACAGAGTGGGGAGCAGAACAGGCAGACTAACAGAAAACACTGCTTAGGGGAGCAGCGGGCGAGACAGGAGAGGTCTGCCACACCATGTGGGCATCTCCCCGGCTAGCCAGGATCGAACCCACACTGCAGAGGCTGCGGACAGCCCCACAGCATTGTGCTCAACCCAACTGCGCCACCAGGAAGGCCCAATTTCAGCATTCTTATCTGTAAAATATGGTCGTTAACAGCAATCTTATCTACATAACATTTTTGGACCATTTACAATGTGTCCAGAGCTGTGTAGAGCATCTTTAATGCATTGTAATTCATTTACAGAAATCTTCACACTGAACACCACTCAGAGGACCCATTTAAAAATGGGCTCACTGGGGTAAAGGAGGTTAAGCAATTTACCTAAAGCCAGTTAGTCAATTAGGAGCAGAGCAAGTAAGAACTTAAAGTCAGGTCTAACTTAACTGGCATGAAATAGTCCCAAATGGAAGTTTCTGACTTCAGTATACTGTGAAGAATGTGCCTAACATGGTTCCAGAAAGTGCTCAAAGAGCAAAAGCTCATCACCATCATCAGTGTCCAAAAGGGGAACAACAAAGGTAGATTGAAGCAAAGGGCTGTGCACACATACCTGTCTCCTGATCTCCTCCTTGATGTTCTCCTGGGTTTCTGGCAGTGTGGGCATGGTGGCCATGTTAGACCATCGGAGAGGTTTTGTCACTTGCTTTAGAATCACATTTCCGAAGAGCTCTTGCACATGTGTGAAAAACACATACAGAACACGGTTGCTAATCTAAGGAAAAAAAAAAAGATTTGCAAGAAAACTATTAAAATGATCAACTTATTTGATGATTTGTATCTATTGCATAGAACATTCTTTAATACTGGACATGAGAATTTTCCTCAGCAGTGACTAGATATCTTTTGCTTACTAGTGACCAATTTAAAACAGAGAATAGAAAAATACACATAAGTCATGTACTCAAACACCAGAAAGAATAGCGGGGCGAGGGGGGGGGACGACAATAAAAGGATGCAGAAACTAGTGACCACAAACTTATTCTTTTTTAGCTCTAGAATATCAATTCACTATAATATCAAATGATTTTTTTTTAAACTTACTTTATTTTTAAGTTATTTTGAGAACTTTTAACATACACTACAGGATCTACCAAGGAACAAAAAGGAAGTAAGAATACTGGCATCTGTAAAGCTGAACTGAGAGTGTGACAGCCCTCACTACAGAAGTAAATCCTTTCTGGGTGCACTTGCATAGCCAGTATTCAAACTTGATTCTCAGAAGCTAAGAGACCAAGTTATCAGGTTCACTGAAAAGCTAATCAGAAAAATACTACCTACCTCAGACCTGACTTTACAATATACCTCAGTCTTCTGTGATACTATAATCTCTATTATGGTAATATTAAGTAACAATGTAATATATACCCAACAAATTCTGAACTCCTAACTGATATGAATGATCAAATGAGCAATGAAAGAATCTTTACTTAAGAAAATATACTTTTTAACAGGTGTTATAATACATAATGATTGGTAATAATCTAGCATACTGGCCAACAAGTGGATTTAAGATAAAAATTATAATTAACTTACTTTTACCTTTTGTTTTTGGTCTGAGTAAAATATCATTAACTATTTAAAGGAAAACACACATTCTATGTCAGCCCCAAATGAGTGGCAATAAATGAAAGCCAAATATGTTCAAAGGAGATGCCAATTAATATACTATCCAGTACCCTTAAATGCCTCAACAGATTAAACTTCTGTAAAATGCTTCCCTAGCTCTATCTTTATGAATCAGATTTCAGATTAAATCCCTGGCCAAACAAAAGGTTAGGCCCCTCTGTGACTGAGTGTAACTATGTGTATGCGACATAAAATAGCAATAACTCTGAAGAAATAACTAAAATCTTTAGGATTTTATAGATGAACTCTAATTGTGGGCTCTGTCACTACGCACATCAATCACTGTCATCAGGAAAGGGTTTATAAACCCACACCAAAGACTACAATATTTAAATTACATAGCTACAAACTAACAGGCAAATATGCTCACTGGCTTCTATGTAGACACTGTCCATATGATGGAAAAAAAGGAACAACATTTACATTAATCTACTTTCTCTGATTAACTGCTATGTATGCAGCTCGGCGGCAAAAAATTATACCCCCAGTTCACCGGCTAGCGCCAAGAGGCACGTGTACAGAGGAAGCCATGTACCTGAACCGTTGGGCTGAGCACTATAGAAATGTTCTGTATATTCATTTTTGTTTCCAGTTCCTTTGAGATAACATGGTCCATGTGCACGATCAGCCAGGAAATCAGAAGATAGTTACATTCTGGCAGTTCCTTCAATAGGCGCTGAAGTTCCTGCACTTTCTCATTCTCTGTGCTCCTCCCACAAGCCTCTTCAAAGCGGGGTATAAGCTCTTTGGTAAGCAGATTCTCTGGCAGGTCTCGCAAATACTGCTTCAGTAAGCTGGCTACAGTATTAGGCTCATATTCTTCTAAGTTTGGAGACTCCTCTCTGTCATAGGCTGCTTTCAGCTCATCCACCTTTGACTTAATTCCTTAAAACAATCAAGTTCAAAAGAGAAAGAGAACATCAAAGAAAAATGTCAAATACACAGCTTTCCTCACCAACCCTGGGAAGGGCTGGGGGGGAGAACTGAAAGAGTCAACCTGAGAGTAACAAACTTCTAGTTATGTGCACAAGGCTCAGACAATTCCTCAGTGAACAAGGTAATGTAAGACAGTCACTCTGAGGGTGATTTTAGCCCCAAACTAAATGATAATAAAAAGAATCAATATTCAGAACAAAAGTCAAAATAATCACAGACATATTAAGCAAAGACGCCAATCAAGAAAAAAAAAAATCTTTTTAAAATTTAAACACAGGTATATAAAAATTCAGGCAAGATTTCAACTACAATCCAAGCCTAATTAGTCTTGCTTTACAAGAGTGGCCAACTGCTTTTTCAAAGTAGTCACAACACTGACAATATAAGTAAAATTCAGCCTGCTGTATATAAGCATGTTCCAAACAGTGGGTAATTATTTCTTCTATAAGTAAAAATTGTATCATAAATGCAAAAAAGTGAATTCACTATCTAAACAAACTCTTTGAAAATTATCTCCATTAAAGAATTCCCATGGATTCTTTAATGGAGAATTTCCCATGTTCCCTCCACTATGGTAGGGGACTATGGGTGTTCTGGTGGTGGGTGTGGTAGATATCTCTCATATATATCTGAAAAGGTATGATACTATACCTCTGAAATGCATACAGTATTATAAACCCATGCTACCCCAATTAAAAGAAAAGTTTGCAACATCAAAAAATTTCTGAATTTTTCATGTTTTCTTAATCTACAACAGAGATGAAACAAAAGTGAAACCTGGATTTCTAAAATCAATTTGTTTTGCTTTTCTTACCAGACATAAAAAAATATTGACATATAAAATGTATGTTTAACAAACATTACATAAGTCTCTAGTCCAATGTGCATTTAAATGACAATTCAGTGACAGTGATTACTCATGCAAAATAGCATTTATTTTCTTTTTAATACTTAAAACTTTAGGTCAATTATTTGAAATGTCACAAATTAAGGTTGACAGATTGTAATGGTAAATATGAATGTTCAAGTAACATCCAATCTGAATAGCATTTTACAATCAAGAGTATTCAACATCTAGGCTTTGATAGTCCTTAGTTTATTGAAAATCTTTAAATGGAATTATGACAAATTTGTAACTTTCCCAGAAATAACAAAATAAAATCAGTAACTCCTAATATGAAATAACAATATAAATCTTATTTCTGTATAATCTTTATTTTCAAGCATTAAATTTAAAAAATAATTTCCATTTTCTTACTTTTATGACAATACAAGTAAAACACAGTAAGTGATAACTTATCGAAATTCTTGGTAAAAGCCTCCTTTCTCTCTCATAAATATCTTTTTTTCCCCATCAGAGCTGACCTCAAAAATTGTATAAGTGAACAATTAGAATATGTGTTTGGTTACTGTCACTCTGAAATTATCAAATTGTTTTCCTTTTAAAAATCAGACACTTCAAATAAAGTATTCCAGGTAGAGAGAGAACATACAGGTGCATTCAGTGATTAGTTTTAAAATTAGAACTTACATATGAGTAAATTTCCATCAGAGAACAGTTCTAGTACTAGCATTAAAAAAAGAAAAGTCACAGCCATAAATTCTGTAGTCCCCACTGTGCTGAGTGAAGCACACTGCCAGAGCTTAATAAAATAAACTGATCAAAGCAGGAGCTCAGTCCCCCCACACCCCCTACTAGTCAGGAGAACAGCTCGGTTGTCCTCCCCACTACCCTCCCTCTCTTAGTCAGGGCAACAACTCGGTTTGAATGCTCTGACACACAAATACAGAGAAGCTCTGCAACTCTGACTCTCAAAAAGAATGCAAACACCAAAAATAGGTCAAAGACAAAAGAATCCTTTGAACACCACTGCAGAAATACTTCTGGGAAACTTTCACCTAAAACAAAATTTCTCCCTGTCTATAAAAGCCATCTGTGAGAAGCAGCTATATTATTGTTTCAATATTTAAAAATCAATCCATCATAAATTATTCTTACAAGTCAAAATTTCTAATTCAATTAATTTTTTATTTTTCCATAATTAAGGAGTTATCAACTCAAATTCAATGACTAATTTAACTTTCCATAAAATAATACTCTAGCAAAAATACTCTTAAATGATAATATGATCTATGGGATTATGTAAAGGTTTTCCCAATTACCAAAAATGCCAGCCTTTTCTCAACAAAATTTAAGTATCAAATCTTCCTTCTAATTGCATATGAACCAAGTAAGCTAAAAAACTAAGTCTAATCTCTTTATGTATTTACCTCATCATGATGATTTGACTCATCATGAATACATGTGTGAAAAACAATGAATTTTACCAAATAAATCTCTGGTACTAAGAAATTAAATTATGGGAATTGGAACACAGATGTTGTCACAGTTCAGGACTTTCATCCTTAACTAATCTTACTACTTTGTAAGTCTTTTTACTTTAAATAATATTTTGCTTGATTTTAGATACTCAATATGAATTAAATTCTCATTTAGCAAGCATGAAATGTTAATTTTCATATATATGGAACACAGATAAAAGGAAAATCAATTTCACTAATATGTTCCACTATTATAGGCTGCCCATGGCTGACAGAACCATTCACAGTGGGGGCATAAACATTTAACAAATAGCATTTCATGCACTTAACTAACTGAACTCAGAAAATATGTATGATTGTGTCATAAATGTCTCCTGGCCAAGAAGTGCCCTTAACCCAGATATCCTTTACATATGATTGTGTCATAAATATGTCTCCTGGCCAAGAAGTGTTCTTAACCCATTCTTTTCCTGCTGATTTCCCTCACAAAACTGAGTCTCTCTTAGAAAGGCAGACAGGAAAAAAATAACAGGGCCTGAGTGCACCCAACATAAGGGACACTACCTGATGACCTCCCTTCCTCTCATTTCAGGTTTCTGCAAGCTGTGAACAACTGATGTGTAAATCCTCCTCATGGAAGATAATATCATTAAAATAGAAAAACAACAACAAAGTGCACGTTCTCTGTCTCTCTCTGTCTATCTCTCTCTCTCTCTCTCTCTCACATACACACACAGAGGCACACACAACAAAGAGTGCAGGGGGGCATTTATGTTTCAACTGGAAGAATCAAGGAAATGAATGGGGCTTAGGACCCATTCAGTTTTTCTCACAAGATATTTTTCCTTTTTGAAAAATAGAAGTGTAGTTAATTTTTGAAAACCAACAAGTTAAGTGCATGCCCCAATACCTGAAACTCTGTAGATGCCTTCACACTTCATGCCATACTTCTCTACATAGTCTATACATTCACGGAAAACTGCTGGCAGTCGAATGCCGTCATACATCATGGTCCTCTCTGCTGCATCAGCCAAAGGAATTCCAAAAATGGGTTTGAGACTTGGAACATCAATCTGAGGCACCTCTGGCTCCTGAATTGGCTTCTTCTTTTTCTTCTTTTCCTTCCACTGTTTAACAACATCTGCTGCTGTTAAGTCTTTTGACTTCTTCTCTTTATGTTTTTCTTCTTTGTGCTTTTCTTCTTTATGTTTCTCCTCTTTGGGTTTCTCCTTTATTTTAAAATCCTTCTCCTTCTTTTTTGAAAAGCTGGGCTTCTTGAAAACATGGATTCCCTTGGACCTCTTCATTTTGGAAGGACTTTCAGCTTCATCGCCAGAACTATCTTCCTGAAAGGCAGCATAGCCTTCAGCTGCCAAAGAAATGCAGGTAAGTATACATTATATGTTTGTTTAACTTCAAACTGCCCATATGCTTTTTAAAATCAAGACCAAAAAAGTGCTACCTGGTACTCCCTACCTAGCTCTCAGAATCAATCCTTCCTGGGTACTATTCCCAGTAACGAAAAGGGATTCCTTTCAGCTAACATGAGATATTGTGTATCTCCTGACCACAAGAGAGAGATTCGCAGTGACCCTGTTATCTTTCCAATCATAGGTGGTTAAACTGGTTTTATTTCATGTCTGTGTAAGTAGCATTGTGGCAAATCAAATATTATAATTACACGAGAAAGATTCTACATAGAGGGTTAACAGAAATAATCTCATAAAATAGAGCATCTTTTGTCATCTGAATAACATCCTCTAATTTACTAACTTTATTAGGCTTTGATTTTTTTCATCTTTAGTACCTGTAGCTTGAAGCAATCTCAAACCATGACACAAACTGCATTATTACTTAGATGCTCCAGTCTTTTGCCCAATCACACTTCATTCTCCAGTCAGTAGCTCCAGTCAGTAGCAATACTACAGTTTGAAGACTGTAGTAAGGGATGGCAGCCTCACTTGGGTGGAAAAAACAAACAGGAATTTCCCTACTAATGTTTGAATGGTGGCTGAATCTATTAGCCCATTTCCCTGTATCAGAGCTCTCGTTTTCACACATTGCCAATTGCTTTCTGTCATATCAGAGTTAGCCTAACTTGGTTTGTTGTTTTTCAGTATCTATGACTCTCCTTTTCTTTAGCCAGCTATTTTATTACAAAGATTAAAGATATTTCATAAATTACCCTCTAATTAAAATACCACAAACCTCCACACCAAATCAGAATTACAAAAATCTTAAGAGGGTAATAACATGATGTAAAGAAACCGGAGTTCTCAGACATTGTTGGTGGGAGTGTAAACTGGTACAACCACTTTGGAAAATTGTTTTGCAGGTTCTAATAAAGCTGAAATAAGCATAGCTTATGAGCAAGCAATTCTACTCCCAGGCATATATACAATAAAACTGCATAAACATGTACAACAGTGTTCACAGAAGTACTGCTCATAACAGGTAAAAACAGAAAACAATTCAAATAACCTGTAACAGTAGAGAGTATAAATTCTATTTTAAAATATGGCCGCAGCAATAAATATGAACAAATTGCCAAAATATAAAATAACATGGATGAATCTAACAAAGGACAAAAGAAACTAGACACAAGAGGAAATACTTTTCCATTTTAAAAAGTTTAAAATCAGGTGGTATCAAGTTACACTGAAAGAAGTTTACCTTTGAGAGGGGTGAGGGATTCCCTTTGAAGGGACAATGAAAGGGATTTCTAGGTGCTTATAAGGCATTGTTTCCAGAGCCTTGTAGTAGTTACAGGCATATCCATTTTGTGATAACTCATCAAGTTGTACACAATTTTTGCATTGTATCTATATACTAGGCTTCAATATAATTTAAAAATACCATGAAACTCAAAATAAAGGAATACTTAAAATAATAATACTTAAAATAATACTTAAAATAACAGATGAATAAACTACACTTTCTGTAGTCCCAAAAACATATGCCCCAATTGGCCAACACAACCAAGGCAAGAAAGTAAGATTCGACAAGGACAAAATTTCAATATTTATGTCCTATGCATTATTTTATTTGGCATAGTTTATTTATACCTCAGATAAAAAATAGTTTACATATTAGGGAATTCCTTAAAATTCAATTCTAGAGTTATACATCATCAAGTAATTTTGCACTGACTGTTAACCACAAAAATTTCTAAACACCCAAAAGCCCCACTATTAACACGAACTATGATAACAAAGACTTGACACTCTGTTCAATATATAGTATTTACATCATGAAACCAATGGTGACAGAATAAACAGTGATAAATAGTAAAATTAACTTTAAAAAGCAAAGGTTTACATCTTACGATGTGCTAATTATTATAACTATAAAAATTAAAAGAGTTGTAGCCATTACTTGTTAACAATTTATATGCAACAATTACATCTGCTGGGGCTGACATTTGATTTCTTTTCCCCAATAACGAGTCAGTAGATAAATGACATTTAAGGACAGATATTAATTTCCCTTGGACAGAAAAGGAAAAAACTATACTCAAGATTAATATTGGTCAAGCCTCTCCCCTAGAGAAATGATGAAAACAGTTAAGACCAAAAAAAAATTCCAATGAATAGGCCGAGTACCACCAATGGTACAACTCAAAAAACCTTGGGATGAATCACACATCTATTCTCTCCTTCAATGATGAGAGTTCTATTTTGTCATCAAATAATAATGACTGAAACAGGTGAGGGGCACCAGGTATACAACTTATCAAACCATGAAAAATACCCAGCGTGGCAGGGGTGCTCAGAAGAAGGGGCAATTTATGTATAATTCAAACTATATACAGCATAACTGGAATGCAGCCCATCCCAAACTGGCTTTGTAAAACAATTGGACTGTAATGATTTAATAGTTAAATTATAACAAGTATAATCATACAATAGATTATTTTAAATGACCACCTTAAGAAATTTCCACCATTTGTGAGATTAAGCCTTTAAAATACAACTCTAATACCTAAAAGTTAAGACCCTGAAAAATAAAAGAGAATGTAAAACAGGAGTCTCTGACCAACATAATTCCAGAAGACAGCAGGTACATGTGATTAGAGAAGTTGATCTAAGATACAGCTAAAGCATAGTGAAGAATGGCACTTACTCCTTTTTTCCTTTTTCTTGAATTTTCCTTTTTTCTTCCCATGGTCTTTCTCATCATCAGACACTATATCCGGAGGCTCATGGAGGCTGTCATGGGGAGGTGAGGGCTCACCAGTGCGGTACAATCCAGGAAACTTAGTAGGACTGATCTCCTCAGAGCTGGGGGTTCGGGTAAGGCCACTGCCATGTTCCACCCTGCGGTGTTCACTAGGGCTGCTGGTGGGGGGCAGGAAGCACTCAGTCATTCTGCCTCCCTAATGAGACAGTGAAGACAGCTGTTCTGTTACCTATCCATTACACCTGCATAGAGGGGAAAGGGTCATTAGCATCATCTAACACCAACCAAAACACAGAAGTACCACTCAAAATTGTGCATTCACAGATCAAAAATATTTTTCTTCACAACTTCCCTTTAAAAACACTCTTTTATGATATGAAGTTACATTCCATGCAACTTTTATAGTTCTCAAAGAGCTGGAAGTCTTAGGATTTTCAACTATTAGAAAAAACAAATCAAATAAAAATCAGAGTTCTCAAAGTAGAATAGTGTCCCATTTTAAAACCACTTTTTTTTAAATTTTCTTACATTATTGCTTATTTTTGTACAGTAATTTGTTTCTCCACTCAGGTGTAAAGGGATTAATTTTGAATGCAATCCAACATATATTCTTACTATTTTTCTTTGTTATGACTAAACAACTCTGAATAATAAATTACTAAGACATCAATAATTTGGTAGAAAAACTAATGTTTGCAATCTAGCTAAAGTGATATATTTAATATATTTAAACCTTGGGATGACTCACACATCTATTCACACAATTAGAGATCATTAATTGCAGTTGTACGTTGGAAAAAACTGGACAGGACATGTGTTGATACAGGCAAACTTTGTCTTATTGCACTTGGTTTTACTGAACTTTTACAGCATGCCTTTTTGTTTTTTTGTTGTTCTAATATCCTCTATCTGCAAAAAAAAAAAAAAAAAATTACAACTCCCAAAAGGCTCAGATGATGGTTAGCATTTTTTAGCAATAAAATATTTTTAAGTATGTACACTTTTTAAACAATGTTTTGGTACACTTATAGACTAGATATTACAGTGTAAAGATAACTTTTACATGCATTGGGGGATAAAAAAAAAACAGTAAGACTCTTCATTTTGACATTTGCTTTAATGGGGTAGCCTAGAACTGAGTCACATCTTTTTTTTGTTTGTTTTTTCCCTACTTCAGCTATGCTGGAAGAAAAAGAGTAAACCTCATTTGCTCAATTCTAAACTACACACAATATAGTTTCACTAGAATGGAAAATCACAAAGGGCAAATGCAGTGAGACTTAAATATTTTGCTTTTTTTCTTTTTCTTGTGAGGGAAGATACTTAGTCAAAATCCAGGCAAAAGTTACCAGGATTAGTTTTCACTCCTTTTCAATGTCTTTATGATATTCAACCGAAATACTATTAGAATGCTTGTTTCTCACTTTTAGGGTTATTTTGGAATTAAAAATATCCACAAGCTGTAAATAAGACTGATAAATCTGACCATAAACAAAGTCAAAAGACAAGAAAATGTTAAAAAAAAATCTGCAAATTTTGATAGAGCTCATTTTTCTTTTTTAAAATTTTTATTTTATACATCATTGTTCAAGAGAACTTATTTCTTAAGAGCAGACTTCTTACAAAATCAGTGAAAACAAATCAAGAGATCTTCACTAAGGGTGAAAAGAGTTGATAGAAAAATGACTAATATCTTTATGAAAACAATAACCATGACTATAATTTAAAAAATTTAAATTACATTAAGCTATCATATTTCTAACATCAGACTGGCAAAGAACAAAAAGGCATATAATACCCAATGTTGGTAAAAGATATGTGCAAACAGGGACTCTTGAAATTATTTACTAATGGTATAATTCTAAATAGGCACAATCCTTTTGAAAAGAAATTTTGTACTATCAAAAATTTAAACATATTATCTTTGATCCAGAAATTCCTCCTTTAAGACCTTTCACATACACTTTTGCAACTAATATAGTCTATAAGCAGCACACATGAAAAGATTTGTTTCAGCACTGTAGAAGCAAAACAATCTAAATGGTGATCAACAGAAGTTAAATTAATAGTACATCCAAACAATGACTACAGTCATGCACACAATTTCTAAAAGCATATGAGAAATAGTTACCCACTGCTAGTTCTTGGAAGTGGTAAAAGGGAAGGGAAAGATTTTTTAATTTTTTTATGTAGCTTAACCTTACCATATTTATATATTATTTTTTATTACTATTACTGTTTTTAAAATGAATGGGGCATATTTTTTAATCTTAAAAAATTATGCCGTATTGAAATATATTTTTTATAATATTTAATAATGTGGGGAGGTGCAATTTTATTCAGAGCACAGTTATCAATTTTTAAATATATGAATATAAATGTAAAAGTATATAAAAATACTGATAATCTCTGAATTATGAGATAAGTAATCAAAATTTTCTTTTTACTTTCTGCCTTTTATAGATTTTCTCTCAGCATGCATTATTGTTTGTATAATCAGAAAAACATTCAAAGCAGCAGGAAGTTACATAATGGATCTATAAGCATCACAATAATTCTTTTGTTTTTTTCTTGACTGGCCTCAATTTTTGGCTATTTTAAAAACTACATTCTATTTTTCCTTTAATTGAAAGCATTAAATTTTCACAATCCTTGGATTTGAGAGTTTAGCAGAAATCTAGAGTTCAACTAGCATATTACAATCATGAATTACAGATGAGGAAACTCAGCTCCAAAGACCTAGTAAACTGACACAGCTGCTGAGAAGGAACAGAGTTGTACACTATGGAAATTAAACTGCACCAACACATTTTATGCTTCCCTACCTTTGAGCATGCTCATAGTTCAAGCCCTGAAATTCAGTCCTTCCAAGTACCAGCAACACTTTCTCCAGGAAGTCTCCATGACTCCCCCAGTCTAAAGCACATCTTTTCTGTGTTCCCAGAATCTTCTGGACACACCTTTAGCACTGCATGCACCATGCTATGTGTTAATCACCTACACATACGTCTTTCTTGCCCCCAAATTTGTGCGTTCTAGCATTTAAAATAACATAGGGCACACCAGAGTCCTCAAAAATGTACTTAATAATTAATCTATATTCTCAGGTGCTGATGAGACAAAGATTAGAAGAAATAAAGCTAGTTTTTAGGCTTACATTTTGATTAAAGAAACAAAAAAAGGGAATCCAAATTTCATTTGAATTCCTGTGGCTTCAGGAATACCTTAGTATATCCTGTCAGAAAATTAGTATTTTCCCATTTTTACAAAAAGGAGAAAAGCTCAAAAATCTAATGTAACTTCCTTAAATCACACAGCAAGTAAGAGGCAAAGTTGGGGTCTGTTTTACTCATCACATCTTTTCCCACTAAACTGCTCTTTATGTACATACATATAAAAAGTATGCCAGGAGGACTGAGGTTAAAGACAAACAGAAACATGCAGTTTATTATGAGATTAGCAAGAATACTGGTCTGACAGAAGACAATGACAGACAAGATGAGCTCTGAGATATGTGCCAACTAAATGAGGATTTCATGTGCCAAGCTGAGGATTTCAGACTTGATGTGGAAGTCATTAGCACTTCCAAACTACATGACAAATTAAAAGGGGTAAGGGCAGGGTGACATGCAACAAAATACCCAGCAGATTTTAATCACTCCCTCCTCTGTATTTCTACAGCACTAAGTTACACCTATATGCACATGTTCCCTTAAACTCACTATTATCCTTGTTCAGTTTCCATATTAGGTCAATGAAGAAGAGTTTCACTCACAAAGCACTAAGAGATGATCCTGCCAAAATTACTCTAAAGAAATATTTGTTGACTTGAGTCACCTAGTTGGGAATTTGCAACTGAAAGCAGAATCACAGGCAGGAGTGTGCCTATAGTATGGTTTAATAAGAAAGAACAATGTGTTTGCATTAGGGCACTGTGTGTGAGCAGTGGGGAGTTACAGCACGTCTAAGCTACACTGAATAAAAGGGCAGAAGAGAGAGACCGCAAATGTTCCATGGTAAATTTAAGTATATATAGTCAAAGGTAAGAAAGTAAGAAAAGTAAGAAATTCTTATTTTTGAGGCAAGAGGAGATCCAATGTAAAAATTTAAACATTGAAGAAAAAGTACTTATCCCTATGCCTCATGGTAAATACAACCAAAAAGTCTGGATGTCAGACGTTAAAAAAATGGCAATGGGCTCTGAAAGGTAGTGAGAAAAAAAGGCATACAGGTTAGAGACCTTGGGACTGAGAACCAACACAGTTGTGAGGCCCCTATGTTTTCTTCTGACTCACACATTCAGAGACTTGGAGCTCAAGAAACCAGAAACCCAGAGACACTCATGGGGTGGGGGGGTAGACAAAAACAAAAACAAAAGTCTTCTCTCTCTAGCCAAAAGACCAGGAAAGAAGCTGCCTTTCAAGACAGAAAACTTTCAGACAATAATGGTCTACTCAAGTCAAATAACTACCAAAAAATCTTCACACCACCCCTATCTGCATAGTAAGAAAAAGCAGAAATTTGCACCTTCAAGAGTTTTCCCCAAAACATCCACTGAAGGGATGTCAGGAAAGGCCAAGTAGGGAGCTGGGTCTTAAACACCTACACCGTTTGGTAATCAGGAGAACCACTGAACACTATGTGGAGAATCTGTAACCCCCCTCCTCTCCACTCACTCCCTCCACCAACCCTGAAGTAACTTGGTGCCCTGCTCCTTTCCTTTGAATGGTATCAACAGTGGTCTAGTGAAAGAGTCAGAATTTTCACTATTGCCAATGGTAATGAAACCATGCCCACTTTGGTGTTAGTGAAGAGTGCATAGTGGATCATGAAAGGAGAAGAAAAAATCAATTACAGAGAAAAGTCACAATACAGTAGAATTAAAATCAGTAATTACAATGAACTAAGCATTTCATTAAAAGGCAGAGATAATCAAATTAGATGGAAAAGATACAATTATATGCCATTTATTAAATACAAATACTACACAGAAATGCTCAAATCAAATGAATAAAAAGAGACATACCATGTAAACACATATCATAAGAAAGATGGACTGATTATAATCAGACAAAACAAACTTCAAGAAGTATTGCCAGAAATAAAGGACATTCCCACAATCATAATTCTGTATATGTACTTCACTAATCACAGAGCTTCAAATACAAGAAGAAAAATCCAACAGAACTAAAGAGAAACAGACAAATTCCCAATTATCACTGGAAATATCAACGCCCCTTAGTAAGCGACAGAAGCAGACAAATATAGACAATAAATCTTAGCCAGGATGCAAAAAGCACAAAACATAGAAGAACAAATTGAAATTTAGATTTCGTTAAAATTTAAAACTTCTGGGCCTCCCTGGGGCTAAAGTCAGCACTATCAAGCTATCAGCAGCCACTGCAGCCTGAGTAAAAGCCCATGTAATCTCTCTGTAATATTTTATATATACATGTATCTACAAGATATGTATTTTATAAATCAATAAGACAAACAGCCCAAGTAAAAAATTATGAGCAAATAAAAACAATGCACATAATCTTTGCTCACTAGGAAAATACAAACACAAATTAATACAAATTAAAACCGCAATGAACTACTACTATACATTTATTACTAAAATTAAAAGGACTGACAATACCAAATGTTTCTGTCAATATGAACAACTAATACTTTTATCTGATGCTGGAATTCAAAATGGCACCACTTTACAAAAGTGCTTAATAATTTTGTTTTATAAAATTAACATACCTTTATATCATCTAGGTAATGATTCAAGAGAAATAAAAATTTAAGTCCACACAAAGACTTAAATAGCTCAAAACTGGAAATAGCCCAAATATCTGTTAACAATTGACAAGTCATATATATACTTACAATGGATTATTATTCAGCAATAAAAATAAACA